CGGTCAAGAGCACTGGCTGCTCTTCCAGAGGACTCAGGTTTGGTTCTCAGTGACCACATCAGGCAGCCCACAACTGCCTGCAACGCAACTCCAGTTCCAGGGAATCGCATGTCTTCTTCGGGCTTCTGAGGGCACCAAACAGGCGATTCATGCTATGCAGGCACTCATATGTACACATAAATAAATCTGAGAGAGAGAGAGAAAGAGAGAGAGATGCTGGACCGTGGTGGAGCACAACTTTATCCCAGCATCTGGGAGGCAGAGGCAGGCGGAGCTCTGACTTCCAGTCCAGTCTGGTCTACAGAGTAAGTTCCAGGACAGCCAAGGCTACACAGAGAAATCCTGTCTCAAAAAAACAAAAATAAACAAATAAATAATATATATTTTTTGTATTTATTTATTTATTTATTATGTATACAATATTCTGTCTGTGTGTATGTCTGAAGGCCAGAAGAGGGCACCAGACCTCATTATAGATGGTTGTGAGCCACTATGTGGTTGCTGGGAAATTGAACTCAGGACCTTTGGAAGAGCAAGCAATGCACTTAACCTCTGAGCCATCTCTCCAGCCCAATAATATATTTTTTTAAAGGCAGAAAAAGTAAAACTTGAAGAGCAGGGCTTACACCTGGGATCCCAGCCCTTGGGAAGCTGGGGCAGGAGCATCGTGGGTTTTTGAGGCCGGCCTGGAAGACTTAATAAGTTCCAAAACAAAAACAGAAATGAAAAGAGAAAGTTTGGATAAGAGAGACAGTCTGTTGTTGGCAGGGTTGGGACAGAATATTCCACTAATGTTTCTGGTACAATTTCCTGAAGTGGGCTTCAGGAAAATGTCCCTAGGTACTCAAGAATCCAGAAACTTCCATGAAGAAGATGGAGACCACAGATGTGCACACTGACACCAGGCTCCACATAACCATCTCGGCCAAGGGCATGAGGAATGTCCCATATTACCGTGTTTGTCCAGGAAACAGAGCATGGGGAAGCCTCCCTAACAAGCCTGACCTCTGCTGATGTATGCACCCATCAGCACTTTCAAAAATCCACACTGAAAATGAAGCTCAGCAGTATGGAATTTCTGTCACCAGTGGGAGACCCTGGCTCCAACCACTTGTAACACGACTAATAAAAACCCAGAGACAGATATTGGGGTTCAACCTGAAGATCAGAAAAGCAAAGCAGACTCTTACCTCTACAATGGGCAGTCCTGCCTCCATGAATCCTCTGATTGAGACTGAGCTGAGAGCTGTCTCCTCCTGGTTTATATTCCTCTCTAGGGCTGGGATTAAAGGCGTGCACCATCACTGCCCGACCTTTATGGCGAGCTAGTGTGGCTGCTGGGATTAAAGGTGTGTACAGCCACTGTCTGGTCTGTATGGCTGATTAGTGTGGCTGCTTTGCACTGATCTTCAGGCAAGTTTTATTTATTAAAACACAACATACCTCTATTACCCCAGCACTGCCTCCTCCCCATATCTGCAGATAATCAATATGCATGGCAACTAACTGCTGGTTGTCACTTAGGCATAAAGCCACACACACACACACACACACACACACACACACGGAGGCGGGAGAAAAGGAGAGAGAGGGAGAGCAAGAACAAGCAGTAGAGTAGCAGAGAGAAATATTCACAGAAACCCAGGGTGAAGTACTGAGACCTGCTGAGCCAGTCTGCAGTTTAAAAAGACCCCTAAGGCTTCATTCATCTTCTTTCATGGGATACCGTATCTGATTGTTTAGCCTGTTTTATTCTGATTGGCAGTCTAAGCTGATGAGAGATGCACTTAGTATCTGTGGTAACAGCAGCACTTGGGGGTAGCAGCAACGTCAGCATCTAGAGCAGTGCACTTGCTCTGTGCCCTTAGCTACTGCTGCAGTTAGTCTCTGGGGAAGCAGGTGTTGGGATCCCGGCTGCTCTAGAGGAGGGCTGATTTGGCTGCATCCACAGACCTAGCTCAGAATCCACTGCCCAGGCACAGCTGTCCCCTTGCACAGCTCTGTGGACTCAGCGGCCTTCTTCCTGCCTCAGCTTCATTCATTATGAGCAAATTTCCCAAGACCAAGGCTTTCATGGAGGCTTGGCGGCTTCCACTTCTCCTTCCAAGCTTGACACTACAGCCCTGCCCAGGCACCGCCAACCCTGGATCCGCTGACTTTGTTAGTGAATTTTAAGCTTGGCTGTTTGTAACAAAGTCGGAAGCCTTGGACTCCAGGGGGGAAGTGAGGGGATTCAGGGATGAGGCCTGAGCAAGGAATGCCCTAAGAGATTCTCAGTGGCCAAGCTGGAGAATCACTGCTTTAGACAATTTTGTTCTAAAGGCAGAGGCCCAGGAATTTGTGCTAAAAGCACAGAGAGCTTTTTGTGACAAAAATGGGTAAAAACACTGAACAAGCAAGAGAAGCTAGCAATTCCACTGGGGCCGCTTGGAAAGGTTTCTGTAAACTCGTGGTCTAGAGACCCCAGGCTTGTGATAAATGTCTCCCTAATGGCTCCATGCAAACTTGGCAGTCATGTGGCCTGTCCTCCTGTGGACAGGCCCCCAGGACAAGGTTCTGGCCTATTCGGGGCAGGAATGTGCTTCCTTAGTTCTGGGTCTGGAAGCTTAGTCACCGCCTCCCTTGCCTACTACCTCAGTGTGCACAGGTCCAGCCCGAATGAGAATATGCCAGCACCCGCATGGTAGCTCACAACCAGTTCCAGATGACCCAATGCACTTTTCTGCCTTCATGGGCACCAGGCACACATGTGGTACACATTCATGCCAGCAAAACATTCATAGAAATAAATCACAATAAATCTAATGTGATTTAGATTTATCAAGAAATGTCTGCAGTAAGCCATGAAAAATCTCCAGTGCTGAGGGGTTGGGGGTGACTCAGTGGTTTAGCCAGATGCTTCAGGACCCACGTTCAGTGTGTAGTTCCTATGTCCGCCAGCTCACGAGCTGGAAACTCGAGCCCCAGAAGCTGATAACCTCCTCCCAACTCTGTTTACATGTGCATGTGTAAACAGAAACACACAATCTAAAATTAAAAAAAAGTTGCTTGGCATATTGTACAGATATGAGTTCAAGGTCAGCCTGGTTCCAGGTCTGTCAGAGAATACAGCACCCTGAAAATAAATTGAAACCCACTGCAATGGCAGCTTGCATGCCCACTTCAGGGACTCCAGAAATGATGCTCCTGTAAGCCTCCCACGTGCTGAAATCACAGGTGTGGGCGCTGTGCAATAGCTATCTGTGGCTGGGTAGAGGATGGCTGCGTGGTAGGTGGTGGGAAGCCTTTCCTGTTATTTGGAAGTGTGTGTGTGTGTGTTGAAGGGTGTTTGCCTAGGGTCTCTGATCCACTAACTTCCCCGTTACTAGAAAAAAAACAAAAAAAACCTGAATGTAAGTGTCTGAGGGTAAGGGAAGTCTGAGACTACACTGATACAGCTACTGCCACAATCACCCACAAGGCACTAAGAGCGACCCCCTAGAGGCTGTTCCCAATTGAAGTCTACCTAACAAGGAAAACCGGTGCTCAGAACTTCCATGGGACAGCAACCCATCCATGTAACCTCACCCTGCATTTTCTGTATGTGCATGGGGGAGGCCAGAAGAGACTTGAGGGGCAGCTGCCCTTTTTCTACCAACTTCAATCTTTAAAAGACTTGGGGAGCTGGGCTACCCTAGCAGCCCTGGTGCGGGAGAATTATCTGTATTCTGTCAATCATATTTTAATAAAACGCTGATTGGCCAGGCAGGCAGTATAGGTGGGAAAGCCAGACAGGAAGTAGGGGTGGAGCAAAGAGACTGGGAGTATTCTGGAAGCAGAAGCTCTCTCTCAGGCATTCCTGTACAGACCACCCAAGAGGCAACATGTAAGCTGTCACACCGAGAAAGGTACTGAGCCCATGTGGCTAACATAGATGAGAATAATGGGTTAATATAAGTTATAAGAGTTAACAAGAAGCCTGACCTAATGGACCAATCAGTTTATAACCTTATGGAGTCTTGTGTGTGATTTTCTTTGTTGCTTGCCGGCTGTTGGGGTACTGGGAGGGACAGAAACCCCAACAAGCCGGCCCCTCATGTTACACAGCCCACTTCTATTTTTTTTAAATATTTATCACATATACAATATTCTGTCTGCGTATATGCTTGCAGGCCAGAAGAGGGCTTCAGACCTCATTACAGATGGTTGTGAGCTACCATGTGGCTGCTGGGAATTGAGCTCAGGACCTCTGGAAGAACAAAGTTCTTAACCACTGAGCTATCTCTCCAGCCCCCTTATATTAAATACTAATTACTCACACTGGTTTTAAGAGCATTAAACTAGCTAGGTGCACCTGACTTCAACTCCTTTAATACCTTTGAATGAGATGCTCTCCCTTCTCAGCAGACAGGATGTTACTGTGCAGCACAGCACTGGCTGGCTTTAAACACACACCAACTTTTAACCATGGGTGGTGCAGGGAAGATGGCTACAGCGTAAGAACCCTAGCTGCTCTACCACAGGTCCAGAGTTCAGTCCTCAGCGACCACATGGGGGCTCACAAACAACTATGAGATGAGGTTTTGAGTCAGGGCTTCTCAGTAGCTATGGAATCATCCCTGAACCTGCTCTGTAGACCATGCTGGCTTCAAACTCACCTGCTCTTGCTGGAATTAAAGGCGTGTATCACCACTTGTCCATAAACCTAGATGTTTGCCATCCAGTGATTCCCACCTCCCACACGTGACATGCGTTTGTCATTCCCAGTTTACATATTAAGAACTGCAGTCCTGTCCTTCCCAAGGATGGCTGGTCATCTCACATCAGAACATTTTTAGGTCAAGCCTGTATTGGTTCCTTCTGCCTAGCAGCTCAATTCCTCCCTGCTCCAAGCTGTCCTTACTGAGGACAGACGCACAGGACTTGCAGGGAGGGCCCGGAACCTCCAGACTTTCTTACCCCAGAAAAATTACACATGGGCCTCCAGAAGACCCTGATGTTTCATCCACTCAGGCAGTACCTATGGGTCACTGAGGCTTTTATTCTGTAGGTAGAACCGCTGGGGCAGGGGTCTTTCCTGTGGCCACCCTAGAGATTACACTGGGTTCCAGATACTAGCTTGGAAGTGAGGTGACAATGATTCAGACCAGTCACATGATTACAAAGCTGGGGTTTCCAGCAGGGCTCCAGGTGGTCAGGCGGACTGAAGACGTCTAAGGAAGCAGTGGCATGGGAGGGGCAAGCACTGGGCCGGCCTTGCGCCGCCTTGATGACATCAGGGACAGGGTCTAAGCAGCTGGTGGCTCCAGGGATCTCCATCCATTTTACTTGGCCAGGGGGTTCCTGAAGGACCTGCCGGCAAACTTGGCCTTGCTGCCCAGCTCTTCCTCAATTCTTGGCAGAGAAGAGGGGGAAAAACCAAACCAAACAGTTAGCTTCCGGTGCAGAGGATGTGTTGGCCCAGTCTATTAACTCTAACTCATGGAAAGTGGAAGCAGGGGACTAGTTTGAGCTATCCTGCTGTCACTCTGCTTTCCTGTTGTGAACTTCAAGAGTGAGGTTTTAAAGGAGAACCAGTATCTGTCAGTGCTCAGCTTCTAATGTGGATAGACCCTCAAAGGGGAGCTATTCTGCCTTCCACCAGAAGATGGCAGCACCACACGGCAAGCAACTGCTTTGGGATCCACTATCAGCCATTGTCTGTGTGCATGGCCTTTCCTACTGTATGTTGTTCAGGATGGGATTCCAACAGAATATGTCCTCCCACTGTCTCCCTGCTGAATCTTTACCTAAGAATCTGGTTGTACTTGGCAAGGCGCTCGGATCGGCAAGGGGCACCAGTCTTGATCTAGAGGGACAAAGGAAAAGCCATCATTATAGAAGCAATGGAGAATAAGAACAAAAAGTCCAGCCCTCTCTCCCACAGGGGGAAAGAGCCACCCCTACAAACTACACCCAGGCAGACAGCGCTTACCTGCCCAGTGCAGAGACCCACCACCAGGTCAGCGATGAAAGTATCCTCAGTCTCCCCAGAGCGATGGGACACCATGACGCCCCAACCATTGGACTGGGCCAGCTTACACCTAAGAAAGGACACAAGTCAGACCATGTGATGTACTGAGCTGCAGCCTCGGTACCTGGCCCTCTGCAGGCTTACAGCCTAAGGGCATCCTTACCCTCGCACCCTGGCATCAAGCCCTCAAAGAGACAAACATCCTGGTCTCTGTAGCCAAATTAAGCCACAGGGCCCGAGGACCAGGCAACAGTGCTCACTGCTGCGTCCCTCTGGCTACCACCATGTACTCTACATCACCTGGAATCGACAGTCCCACAAGCCCTGCCCACCGGCTACTCACGCCTGCAGAGACTCGGTCACGGAGCCGATCTGGTTCACTTTGAGCAGGAGGCAGTTGCAGGACTTCTCACTGACGGCCTTGGCGATCCTCTTCGGGTTGGTCACCGTGAGATCGTCCCCAACCACCTGGATGCCTGCACTAGCGGTGAACTTCCGCCAGGCTTCCCAGTCATCCTGGTCAAAGGGGTCCTCGATGGACACCACTAGGGAAAGGAGGAGTCATCAGGTGGGCTGTGGTCCCCAGACACCATTTCCTCTTTCTGTCTCTTTTTTTTAAAAGGAGAGCTCAAGCAGGAAGATGACCCAAGCTAAGGTCTACACAAGCTGGCATTGATCAAAACTGTCTCTACAAAGGGGTATGGGGGTGAGAGATGGCTCAGCAGTTGAGAGCAGTGTCTGCTCTTCCAGAGGGGCTGCTTTTATTCCAACACCCACACAGTAGCTCACAACTGGAACTCCAGTTCCAGGGGTCCCAACACCATCAACGGACATAAAGGAAAAAAGAGAAAGGGGCAGGAAGAGAATGAGGGGTATGTTAAGGTCTTGTCTTGACTGTGACCAAACTGGATCTATTGCTACAGTGGGAGCACGGATGAAGTTCCATGTCACAAACTGCAGCTGGCATGGGGAGAGTGGTCTTGGAGCACTCACCTGGATACTCCCGGATGAAGGACTTATACAGGTCAGCCAGCTGGTCGGGGGTGATGTACCTGCTGGCATCATCAGGAGACTTGAAGTCCAAGTCATACTTCCCAGACCTGAAGAACTCAGAGGCGGCCACGTCCATGCCAATGACAACCTGGTCAGTGTAGCCAGCCTTTCCAATTGCGTTCTTCAGGAGCTCCAGAGCTGGAAAGAGACGAAGCAAAGGTGGGTGGGTAACAGGTGCCGAATGGGGACTGCCCTGGCTGTTGAGTTTCCGGCTGTCAGGCACTCATTCCTGCTTGGGTCAAAAGGTCATTGGTGAGGGACCATGGACCCATAAGTAGCAATCTCTAACACAGCCCTTCTTATGCCATGGCAGCTGTGTTGGCGAAGATGCAGTTGGAGAGACAAGCTAAGATCAGTTGTCCTGAGGACTGGCTCTAAATAGAACGGAGGCTGGAATCCAAGAGGGAAACCTCAGCAAGGGCCACCTCAAGTCAAAGCTGCCAAGAACTGAGACACAAGGCTTCTGCCACCTGCCAATGACCTCAGCAGCTAGAAGGTGAATGCACAATGAAGCTCATTTAAAACAGGCCAAAGAGGCCACAAAGGGCCAGTGATACGGCTGGTAAAGGCGCTTGCCACCAGACCTACACCCAAGTTCAGTACCTCAGGCCAAAGTGGAAGAACTGAGTGAATGCGTACACATACACACAAAATTAAAATGGGACCAAATAAAATAACTGGCTTGCTGGAGGTGGTTCAGTGGTTAAGAGCAACGGCTTTTCTTCTAGAACCCATGTTCAATTACCAGCACCCACATGGTGGCTGACTATCTTCGGCAACTCCAGCTCTAAGAGTCTCAAGTCTCCAGTCTCAAGTCACCCCCATTAAACTGGAAAACCCAAAACTACACCCAAAACTTCTTTCCTCCTTAAAGGGTGCCATTGGTCCCCAAACGGGCAGGTGTGAGGGGACAGCGCCATGCAGCTCAGTGCTCACCTTCTTTGTTCTCCAGGATGTTAGGCGCAAACCCGCCCTCATCACCCACATTGGTGGCATCCTTCCCATACTTCTCCTTGATGACATTCTTCAGGTTGTGATAAACCTCTGCCCCAATGCGCATGGCTTCACGGAAACTGGAGGCCCCCACAGGGAGGATCATGAACTCCTGCATGGCCAGCTTGTTGCCAGCGTGAGACCCGCCGTTGATCACATTGAAAGCCTGGAGAAGCAGAGGAGAGCTGTGCTGCCGGCCCAGGGAAGCCATGGATAGTCACCTTAGGACATGAAGCCTGACCATCTAGCTGCTATCAGGCCCATATGGGCCTGGCTCTGTGCCGCATCAGGACTCTCTGATCCACTGTGCTGGGAGTCCTAATTCTAAGAGACTCGATGCAGAGGGTCCTTGTGGGTCTCCATGATGTGACACTCAAACTTGTAATGGTTAGTATTAACTGTCACCCAACATGACTTAGAGCCACATGAAGTGAGCCCTAGAGGGACCATCTATCTAGATGATCTGGCCTACTGGCATGTCTGTGGCCACTAGAAAGTAGCAGCAGACCCCTGTGGGTAACACTGTTCCCTGGGTTTGGATTCTGGATTATGTAAGGGTGGAGGGGAGCTAAGTAGTTAGTTGGTATCTCTATACTCAACCCCTCCCAACAGGTCTCACTATATAGCCCTGGATGTCCTCAAAGTCACCCATCTGCCTGCCTCTGCCTCCTGAGAACTGGGATCAAAGGTGTGTGCCAGCAATGCAGGCTTAGCTGCCCTGTCTAGTCTGGAATCTTGCAGTGACTCATTCTACAGATTAAGACTGGTGTGCTTACTTTTTTTTTTTTTAGACAGAACAATGCTGAGATTAAAGGCATGCAGCACCACTGTCCGGCTTCATTTCTTTCTCTGCCTGTGAGTGTGCAGATACACTTCAGCCGTGACTTCCCTGCTAGGATGGCTGTGTTTAGAGTCGTGTGTGAAAACAAGCTTTTCCTTAAACTTGCTTCGAGTATTGTTCTGCAGCAAGCAACAGAACTGGAATGAGACACCTCTAGCAAGTTCTAACAAGTCACTCACTGGGACTGGCAGGATGACTTCAGGGTTGCCAGCCAAGTCAGCGATATGGCGGTAGAGGGGCACCCCCTTTTCTGCAGCACCAGCTTTGCAGACAGCCAGGGACACTCCCAGGATGGCATTAGCACCGAATTTGGCTAGAATAAAACGGAAATGGTGAACAGAAGCCATTAAGACCTGCATGCAAACCCGCACTTCTGAACGAAGGCTTCCCGGGTGCAGCACTCACATTTGTTCTCAGTGCCGTCCATCTCAATCATCAGCTTGTCGATCTTCTCCTGCTCCACCACATTCAGTTTCTACAGGGAAGACGGGGCGGTGAGGGCCAGGGCAATCACCTGAGCTCTGCTCTCACACCAAGCAGCACTTTAGAAAGAGGCTGGGGAGTGGAGCTTAGCAAGGAGCTTCCTTAAGCTTGTAAGACTGGCTCTGTCCCCAGCTCCAAAGAGAACAATGGGGTAGACCAAAGCCACATCTGACTTGTCCTAATTAAGGCTTCAGGCATTTCCCTGGGTCCACAACAGACTACAGTCTACCTAGGAAGTCAAGGTCACACATACAAGGCTGCTGTGTGTCCCCTGTGCTGCATAAACTATCATGATAAACAAGGATGCTCTTAGAAGCTAAGCAATAAGGCTTACTGTTTAGTCAAGCAAGCAGGGCCCTGACAAGGCTCCTTTAAGGCAGCCCCTTCTGATCAATGTCAAACAACAGACAGATCTTCACTCAATGTCCAAATCATCCATCAAAATATTTGGTTGATAAGGGTTTAGTTTCCAGAATCAACATGGCTGTTCACAATTGTCTGAAACTCCAGTTGCAGAGGATCTGATGCTATTTTCTGGCTTCCACATGCACCAGGCATGCACGTGGTACATAAATATACATGCAAGTAAAACCCTCATACACATAAACACATTCTGTAAAATATTGTTCATATAAGAAGTATGGGAGAAAATCTACAACCCCGTAATGCTGTGTGAGCGTTCTGACGTCTCAGTGCTTTGGCAGGCAATGCTAAAGGAGGTAGTTGCTCAAGTAGAGAGCCCACCAAGGGTATAAGTGTGGGGACCAAGGGACAGAGAATAAAATATTCAAGGAGCTGCCCAGGAGACTGGAGCAGAGGGCACAGGCAGAGTTGTAATGAGCAACTGTCTAGAGACCATACAAGCAGTACCAATTACAGCATGAGGACGGCTTAACTAGGAACAAACAGGATGTCACCCAGTGAACGGGAGGAAGGAGGTATGGCCCACTGCTCCCTGAGTCACCTTCAGACCTATTTCACCCACACCAGATTTGCAGTCTGACCTTGACTTGAAAGACTAGGTTAAACTAATATGAGAAAAAAAAATCATGTGTATGTCTGAAAGTGTGCCGTGCATGAAGGAGACTGCAGAGGCAGAGGGGGCTTTCAAGTGGTTGCTGGCCCCCTGAGTTTGGTGTGGGGACCAAACTCAGATCCTCTGAAGTGTGGCAAATGCTGTTCTGCCGGGCCATCCTCTACCAAATGAGGATTTTTTTAAAAAAGCAGGGACAGAGTTGAAATCAGGGCTTTGCATGCAGCATGCAAATATCATACGGGGCGGGGATGGAGTCCTGCCTATCTCCCAAGTACCCAGACTGTAGGCACATGCCACCATAACTTGGGAATGTAGCCTGGGCTCCTGGCATCTCTATCACCTGGACCCCATCCTGTGTTCCAGTCAGTAAGCCAACCCAACAGGGCAATCAATTCCAAAGTCCAGGTATCTTCCATGGACGATGTCCCACAAAGCTGTTATTAACATCTGTACCATGACCCCGAAATGTCAAGATAGTGTAGGGAATGATGCCAAGTATTCCCTCACCCCCACTCCACCCCATTCCCAACCACATTCAGGTGTCATCAGAAGCAACAGCCACACGCAGGTAGCAAGTCGGTTAGACTCATGCATAAAAGGGAATCCTCAACTTTTAAGCTCTCAGAATAAGCTAAGGCCCCGGGATTCGCTCTGGTGGCACTGATCCACAGCGGTTACGGGAAGGTGGGTCCTACCTTGCTAACCAGAGCAGGTGCGATAGTTTTATTGATGTGCTCAACAGCCTTTGAGACACCTAGAAGGAACAATCATGAAATTACTGACAGTGTTACAATACGCAGGCGTGAGCAGCATTGCTGGAGCACCGGAGCTGCAGGTCCTCCACAGGACACCAACCCCCACCCCACTTCCCCGAGGGAGGCTTCCTGGCCCAGTCTGAGCGCTCTTCCTTAGGAACCCGGGGGTTAAAGCCACGCAAGAGCAATCAGCCCAGAATGATCCGAGGGACAGTTAGTTCAAGACCATGCACTGGGAAGACCAGCTGCACACCTAGGATGCAGGGCGCGTTACCTGAGTGCACAAGGCTGGTGCCAGGAACTCATTAACATACTTAACAGGTCTCGAGACGCCTGCCCAGCAGAGGTGAATAGAAGGGAAAAGAGACTCAGGAGAGAACAGGCTTCAGAAGAAAAGAAGTGAGGGAAGCGGCTGCAGGAGAGCTTCGGATGTCAGCTTCTCCTTCAAGCAGGCTGTTAGCAGTGACAATGGGCTGTTCTGCTCTAGAGGCCTCTGGGGGGCGCCTCTCAATTTCCAGCGAACACAATCTTCTCTTCCTTGCTGCCTCCACACCACTAACATTCCAAAATTGATCACAGTAACTAACATCCTCTGGTCCCCAGTTCTTTAGAAAGAACCACACACACCTTGCAGGGCTAATACTGCCCCAGGGATAAAGGCGGGGCCTAATTCTGCGTGCTCTGCTGGCTCTTGAGCAAGCAGATTCCACTTACAGAATGTGACAGCCACATCAAGGTGACAGGTCAGCCTGCATGCAGCCAAAGGACTGGGGCTGGTCCACACCAGGCAACAGAGAAGCAGACCACAAAACTGTCTGAGCGCCTCCGCTGAAGGCAGACACTTCCCAGTGAAGACGGGAGAAGCTTCCAAAGCCCAGAATGACAAGTCTCCTTGTGTTTGCATGCCCAGTTTCCAAGCTTGGCAATGTGGGTGACAGTGAGCTTCCTTGCTGACTTTCCAGTGTGGTAAAGGCACTCACCAATGACATGAGTGAAATCCAGAGAAAGGCAAGGAGGGCTGGTGGAAAGGTGGAATGTGAGTTCCTAAACTTACCCTTCCCCATGTAGCGGGTCTTATCGTTGTCCCGGAGTTCCAGGGCCTCATAGATGCCAGTGGAGGCACCGCTGGGCACAGCAGCTCGGAAGAGACCTGGAATAGAGGTAGGAAAATCAACTATGAAATGCCAGCACACGCCTGTATCCCAATACACAGGAGGGTGAGGCAGCAGAATTTCCATGTGTTGGGAGTCAATTTAGACTAAAGCAACAAACACTAAACAAGACTACCAAACAGAAAGACCAACAGCTCAAGTCCAAGCCCCACTCAGTCAGAGCATCTAGTCTCAGAAGTGCTGCTGCTTCCTCATCAACTGGACATCCTTCCAGATCATGCTTTACATTGATCCTAATACAGAGCCATCAAATAGGTTCTCAGGAGTCTTCCCTGAAGGACCTGCGAGCTAGCTTGCCTGCAACCCACCCTGGCTTCCTACACATCCAAAGGGTTCTGACATAGATGAAACAAGGGTCAATTCTGCCTCCAGGGATGTGACTAAAAAAAGATTGGAGTACATTTGATACCATGAGTCTTCCTGGACACAGGATCTCAATGAACCTGGGGCTTCATTGAGGTGATGCTGGCTGACCAGTTGTAGGGAAGCCTTCCATGTCTGTCCCCAGTGCTGTGATTACAGGTGTACCCTACTAGACCCAGTTTCTTATGTGGGTGCTGGGGATTGGAACTCATGTCTCATGCTTGCATGACTGCCACCTTCTAAAGGGACCATCAATGCAGCTGCTCCAAAGATATTAGGTCAAGCACTGTATCACACAACTGTAGTCACAGCACCTACGAGGACTCAGGGTTTGAGAACCATGTGGCCTACACACATAGGAAATCTTATGGGAAAAATCAACAAGTTAATTATTGTAAATATTGTTTTTTTCCTGGTAAATGACAACATTAAGATTATACTGATACAAAAAAAGTAGCTAGGATCCAGCTGAGAGCCTTGCAGCACACGCAAGCTGTTGCTGCGGACGTGAGGATCCTTTTCTGGGGGACTGGCAGGAAGGGCTGGGCTCTGGTGCTAGCTAGACTTGTGACTAAGACAATGACTCAGCTCTGACTGGCAGAGCCTGGTGAGCTCTGCAGAACCATACACACCATTCCTCAGGTCCTTTCCCACCAACTGCTCCAGCACAGGGGTCCTTGAGTAGAGGACACAGGTTCTTGCTATGTAGCCCAGGCTAGTCTCTAAACCGGCAATCCTCCTGCAGCAAGCTCCCAAGTGCTGGGATTAAAGGCATTAGCTGCCACACCCATCCAGTCCCTTACAATAAAAGCTTTCCAAAGGATGATCCTTGTTCTAGGAACAAATGCTTGCTTAAGCCCTGGCTTTACTTTTCTGCCCCGAAGATCCACCCAGCCCACATCCTGCCTTAAACACCTTGGAGCAGAGATGGGCGTGGTGGCCCCTGCCTGCAGTCTCAGCAGAGGGAAGGCTGAGTGATGTGTGCACAGGACACTTCCCCGCCACCCCTGCCCTCCATTCATTTCTCAAAGGAACGTGGTAGAAGAAACCATGAAAAGTGGGGACATACCTTTTGAGGTGTAGAGATCAACCTCAACAGTGGGGTTCCCACGGGAGTCAAAGATCTCTCGGGCGTGGACCTTGAGAATAGACATGGCGAGTTTCTGTAGGGAAAAAACAATTCATGGTTTTCTCTAAAGCGTAACACAGAACATTAATTGAAGGGATCACTTCTGAGGGATGCTGGACCTAACAGAGGATGAGTGGGCCGAGGGTTCCGTTTAGGAAGGCTGCTTATTAAAGGAGCTGTGGGGAGGGCAGTAGCATGGCCTGCTGGAAAGCAGCAAAAGTAGTCCTTGAGAATCATGCCAAGGGGCTGGAGAGACGGCTCAGCAACGGTGCTCTTCTAGCACCTCCGCTTAATTCCCAGCAAACACATGGCGGCTCACAACCACTTGTAATGAGACCCGGTGCCCTCTTCTGGCCTGCAGGTGTACAGGCAGGAAGAACACTGTATATATAATAAATCTTTTTTTTTTTAAAAATCAGGCCTGATGACCACATGGTACAATGACTGAACCACCCCTGCAAACCAAGTGCGCTGTGGCTCATCCCAAAAAAGCCAAATTTTTGTACAAAAGCAGGCTGGAGGCTAAGGCCGTGGCTTAGTGCTCAGAGGCATGCTCAACACCCTGCCTGCGGCTACATTCCTCAGAGCTGTGGAGGTGGCAGCAATTCAACAGAAAACGTGTGCTTTGCATGCTCAAAGGCCTGAGTTGTATCCCTCAGGACCAGGGTGTAGAAGGGGAGAAAGGATAAAAAAAAGCTAGAGATTGCAAGCACTAGGGCAAATAATTAAAATTAAAAAAAAAAAAACAAATCAAACCTCCAGCTGAATGACACAATGTGCTGGCTGCGTTCACACAAGACCTGGTGAGAAGGAACCTGGGTGAAACAGTGATGGGAGGTCACAGGGCAAACTATGTAAAATCAGGGAAAATGCCTAACTCATCACATTGTAACCATGGTAACAACAGCATATTCAGTTGATGGAGATTTGATAACCAGTAAGAAATTGCCCTTGGAAGCCAGCAACACTTAACTCCTTGGTCTGTGAACATCAGCATTCTCTGGTCTGCTGGCACATGTCTGCTAGCTTGCCTAGCACGTGGGCGGTCCTAGGTTCAATTCCCACCGCCATATTTTCACTATTCTTTCTTTCAAAAGGACACTTTTATCTTATTAAAAAGGTTTAATCAGAAAACATCCTGAGTGGAGGGTTATTGGACAACGATTTTGAAAGAATGCCCAATCTCTACTTTTTCTCCAGTAGGCTTTCCAAGAAAGAAATTTACCAAAGAGCCTCTAGAACTAAACTGGATGAGACCTGAAGCAAATTAGCGTTCTGGCCGGGTTCCCCACATTTTCCCTGGCAAGGGCTAAAGCGCCAAAAGCATCTTTTTATTTCAACTGAGAAGTCACTTTTGTAGTTTTGTCTTGTGTGAGACAAAGGATCTTTATACACTTATGAAAAAAGTATTTACTTGTTACAAAACATCAACCACGACTCTGTAGGCTTTAAGAACATTTAATATAAACCAGGTTGGGTTTAAACACCATTCTCTTCTCTGTGTCCTCCCAACCCCACGTTCTATGTGTACCAAGTTGATCCGAACTCATAGTGATCCTCCTGCTGCAGATTACCCAGTGGTGGGTTTGTGTGTATCGCCATGCCTGGCACTTTAGTCTTTTACTCGGGGCGGGGGAGCGCCCACGTGGTATGGCTGTGGAAGTCAGACTACTGACTTGCAAGAGTTGGTTCTCTCCTTCCCCCGCACGTATCTGACTGGGATTCTTAATCTGGACATCAACTGTCTTTAGCCAGGATAAAATCTCACCCTTCTAGGTCTTTTAGATTGATTGGTCGCGGGATCAGGGTCATAAATGTGGACCTAGAGGTCAGGGTATCAGTCCAGGCCGACTCCGACCGAGCTCGAAAGCCAAAGGATCACGCTGCTTAAGGCCAGAACGAACAGGAAGTTCTCCTAAACACATCTTAAGTCAGTTCATGGCCGGCTAGTAGCCACCCAGGAAGCCCGCACCCCTTCTTGCCTAACTGGGGCGAGGTCTTCTAAGGGCTTCCCAACTATCCAACGGGACTGCTGCAATTTCCTCTTGTCCAAGCACCTAACCAGTGATAAGTATTCCGAAGCACAGATGGGCTGGACCACTCCCGCCCAGTGACGCTAGACTGTGGTCCAAGAGACACAGCCCTAGCAGGCTCTAAGAGAGAAGGGGGGGGGGGGGGCGGCGCTCTGCCTCGTGGGCATCTTTGTTTCTGGCCCTTCCATTTCGAGAAGGGCTTTCATGAGCATCAGGAGATCAAGTCTTTCCCTATCTCAAAAGCCTTCCCCATGGCTACAGGGAGAAAAGCACTTTACTCCCCAGGGCGGCGATCAACCATGTTTTGTATTTGCTGTTGCTTGGTTGGGAGCCCATTTAAACTGCAAGCCGGCAGCTGGGTAATAACAGGTGGGCCTGCACCTCCCCAACCCCCTCCTAGAGTCCGCGACCTTCCACGAGGCTGACCCGAGCGCTCCCCGGGTGTCCGGCTCGCACCCAAGCTAGGGGGTGCCCATGTCCACCGGGTTCCCCAGAACAGCTCGCTCGTGAGCGAACCGTCTCCAAGGGGCACCCAAACCCTACCTGGCAGTCGGCGTGCCGCAGAGGAAAAGCACAGAGGTTCCTGCACACACCCTGTAGAGCGTTCAGGAGAGTCGTGCGCGCGATCCGGTTGCCGAGCTGCTCTAAGCGCCTCCCACTCCGGCTTTGAGCACAGCTCGGGAGGCCCCGCCCACTCCTCTCCTTGCGAGCCCGCCCTCTTTTCTCTTCGCTTGGCCATTGGTCGTCAGTGCTGTCACTCCAGTAGAAGAATGTGAGTGCGGTGTCCGCTTTGCCTGCACAGACTGGGGGCGATGGCCCGGAGGCGGGGGTAGACGTGGCTGGCTGGGCCTGTGGCATTGTCGGGTGGCCGGGAGAGCCTCCCGCTGGGACCTGGGGGCCGCGTTGAGGGTCTACGAAAGCTGGGTGAGGGCGGGGCGGCGCGGCCGGCATGCGGGCTCCGGCCGGCGGCACGTACTCCGAGTCCCACACGCACGCACTCGGTGTGGCGGCGCCGAGCACGTCCGGCCCACGACCTTGTTGATGACCTTCGCGGCCCGGCCCTACCGTGGGCCTCGCCCCGCCCCTAGGTGCGGGAGACCCCGGCGGCGTGGAAACGTTAAGCCGCAGCGTGGGTAGCCTCACTCGCGTGGAACGGGGTGGGGGGGGCGGATAGGGCACTGCGCCTGCGCCCTGCGTGCGCTCCCCCTCGCCCCTCCCCCTCCCGAATCCGGGTCCTGGCTCTCTGGTGCCACCCGCCAAGGTGACCCTGTCCTTTTGTCCTTGCTGTGGAGAGTTTCAGACAGAGGTAGCCAAAGAGAAGTGAACTTTCCCGTAATATTACCTAATCATTGTATCGTCGTGTACAGGGTATCGAACGCACGATCCCACTCGTGCTACCTAAAGTCTGTATCATTGTGCTACACCCGCCCAGCTACTCCACCCTGATCTTTAGAATGCTCCTCATTTCTCCCCCTGCTCCACCTCAGCGTGAATTCATTCTTTTTCCCTGTTAATGGCCTTTCTTGAAGGATTTAATACTTCTTCCCCCAGATGGTGAACTAAATCCAACCTACCTGGATATTTGAGATCTGTATTTGTGTTTAGAGTTTGGTGTTTTATGTAGGCCCGAGGTCTAGAATAGTCTGCAGTGATGTGGCAAATGGCCGGAAGGAAGAAGTGGGTGGAGTCATTTTACCTCTCCATAGAGAAAGTAAAACTGGTGTTTAATCACAGCTTCAGGGAGGCAGAGGCAGGCAGATCTCTGAGTTCAAGACTCACTTGGGGGGGGGGGGGCTGGAGGGATGGCTTAGCGGTTAGGAGCCCTGACTGCTCCTCCAGAGGACCCGGGTTCAATTCCCAGCACCCACATGGTAGCTTACAGCTGTCTGAGAGTCCAGTCCAGGGGATCTAACACCTTCACACCAATGCACATAAAAGTTAAATGAATCGGGCTGGAGAGATGACTCAGCCGTTAAGAGCACTGGCTGCTCTTCCAGAGGTCCTGAGTTCAATTCCCAGCAACCACATGGTGGCTCACAACCATCTGTAATGGGGTCTCTGGCCTGGAGACATACACACAGACATAATATTGTATATATAAAATAATAAAAAAAAGTTAAATGAATCATTAAAAAAAAAAAAAAAGACTCACTTGGTCTACATAATGAGTTCCAAGCCAGAGAAGGCATAATGATGAGACCGTGTCTCAAAGAAAAAAGGAGAGAGAGACTTTCAGCCATTAGAAGCCAGTGAGGTGGCTCTGGATAGGGGCACCTGCCATCATGCCTCGTAACCTGTGTTTGATTCCTAGGACCCAGTGTTGGAAGGGGAGAACTGACTTCTGCCAGCTGCCTCCTGACCTCCATCCCCACCGATGTAATACTAATTTAAAAAGAAAGAAAAAAAAAACCAGCTGATTAACAGATTGAGGCAAGAGTGGGCTACAAGGGAGATGATCCTGTCTCAAACCCTACAAAAATCAGTTTGTAACTCCTGCAATGCACACAGTTCTCCATGGCAGAACTGAAGCCAGCACCTCTCTGTTTCTCCTGGGCTGTAAGTCTGGGAGTTAATGGCATTTGCTTCTATATTTTCCATAGTGTCTTCCATAAAGAGACTGAAATATGCTCTTGGCTTTGGTTATTACATATTCTCGTCAGCTACAGGAAGCTGCACTTCTCTTTTAACCCTTAGCATTTTGCTCCAGGCAGCTCCTGGCCGAGGTGTCCAATACCTTGGATAAAACTGAAGGCTACTGAGTTCAAGGTGTTAAGTTTCCACTGATGAAGAAGCAAGGTCTTTGGGATTAAATTCAACAAAGAAGCAACAAGGAAATTGTAAAATGATTCATTAACGAATGTTAGGAATTTCACAAGCAGTTAGTGATTTCACCAATAATACGCTGACGTGTGTTGGCTGCATAAAACGGAATATCTCCAGTTCCATGACTCAGCAGCTAAAATAACAGCCCTCCCTCTCCCGACCCCTGTAAGAACTGTAAGAAGCGGGAAGCTCTGAGCTCTGTTTTCCGTGTGATTCCAAGGCTTTGGCCCGGAGAGCGCTCCAGACAGCCGCTTCATTTTCCACTAAAATGTTTGGAGAGATAAAGATACTCGGACAGCTCTTGCTCCACTAAACCTGGTGAGTCAGGCAGGAATCTAAAGCGAAACATGATCTCAAGCAGCTGCTGTCCCAAGATTGCTGGAGGTCTCAGGACTCAGTCGCTACCATTTGCCCTGTCTCCAGGGTCTCCAGGCTCTGTTCCAGGTCCTACTCACATTCACCTGCAGTCAGCACAGGACTGTTTGCCCTGTTATAGGCATTTAGCTATTATTTCTCACTTGCAGGAGCTTGTTGAGCAATTGTATGGCAGGGGCAGATGAAAGGCACAGGAAGAGGAAATGGGTAGCCAAGTATGGTTTTCAACTATACTTGAAAGCACTAAAGGGTGTTCCCAGCAGGACAAAAGGCCAGTGTATGGCCTGTGACCCACCTGGCTGAAACCTCTGACCAACTGAGAAGGTGACATACCTCTTCATGAAAGTGGGACCGAGGGCTGGCCACGTAGCTCAGTGCAGAATGCCATTGCATAACTTGGGGATGGTGGCACATCCCTGTAAGCCCAGCAATCAGTAGGCCGAAGTAGGAGGATCGGGAGTTCAAAGTCACCCTCGGCTCTAGAGCAATTTGCCGGGCCCCACAGAATACTTGTGTTTGAATTTGTTCTGTGAAGTAGCCTTAGCTTTTATATATATCTGAGTTCTGATTCAGTTTGAGAAAATCAAAAAAGCCAGTGAGACGGCTCAGGGAGTCAGGGTGCTTGCTGCAAAGAATGGTAACGGAGTTTGAGCCCCAACTTTCACATGGTGAAAGGAAGAGAACAGATTTCCACATCAACCTCGGGTTCCTCCATGCATGCCTCCACACGTGTCCCTGCACATATGTAGACATGCATACACATGTATCACACACATACACACAGAGAGAAATGTTTTAAAAATGGAAAAATAAAATCCAACTCTTTGCACCTTTTCTAGAAATCAAATTCCCTTTGATTACTATCACCCTTCCCAAGTCTTCCACTAGGAAAAATAAACAGATTTTGTCATGAGTTGCAGCCAACATTCTGCCTTTAGGACGGTTTTGAGGGCACTCATTAGGGCAACAGGCTTATCATCGGTCTTTGTATGTAGGAGTGGGTGGCAGTGGTGAAGTCAAGGTGGCCTGGGTATAGCCCAAGGTGGCCTGGAACTCAGCTCTCTCTCTCCTGTCCTAGCATCCTGAGTTTGGGGATTACAGACAAAAGCCAGCATGTCTAACTTCAGGAGTCTCTTCAAGGCTGACTTAAGCTGTAGAAAGTACGGGTGGGGCAAGGAATGCATTTGGGGAGGCAGATTGGAAAACACGGTATGTTTTTTAAAGGATCAAGTTTGGCACTCAAAAGGGGCCCTGAGTGAAGGGCATTAGGAGAAGGAGTTGATACTGGAATCCCTGAAGATTAGAAGCTACAAAAGGTGTCCCCCAGGGAGCTGGGTCCCTTTACAGGAGAAAATGGGGGGGGGGACAGGTGATGGGGTAGTGGACCAGCAAGAGGCCACTTCAGCTATTCTGTCTCAGCAGGCTAGAGAGAAAAGCATGCCTAGCACGCTACCAGAGAGCTCTGCCCCATTCTCCCAGGACCCTGCTTCACAGGCTACATTTCCTTGGAAATGTATGTGATGCCCCCAGACTTACAGACCAGGGCTTGAGCTGTGCCAGCTCCAGGTGGCCGCTATCAGCAGGCTGGGAGTCATCCCGGAAGGAGCTGGCACCTCACCATGGCGGCTGCAACAGATCATCACAGTCTTCTTCCACCTCTGTCGGAGCTCACCTCCACTTTCTCAGCATTCTAAACATTGCCACAACAGCTGCCCTACGCGAGCCGCCGAGAGGAGGGTTCCCCCAGGGTTTCAGGTGAACCCAAGATAATGAGGAAATTCTCCCTCTATCTGTCATAGCCAGACGATGCGGCTGAGGAAGCTTGATTACCTACCAGGCACCATGCTGTTCACCTGTCACTCGGTCACAAAGTCCAAGGCTGCCACCCCTCATCATCTCTAGTTTCTGTTGGTTTATTTATTTATTTGGTGCTGGGGACTGGAGCTATTGCCACATTGCTACTCATGACCCCCCAGTGGGCTATGGATGCTTATGGAGGTGAAAGTGCTGGGGCAAAGGGTTTGCAATTCAGGCAGCCTGCCTCCCCATCCCCTAACCTTTCAGCACAAACTCTTCTGAGATGAAGTTGGTCTGCTCTCTGGATTTGGATGTTATACTCAGCATGAAATTTAGTCCGTTTATTTGCATTCCTAGTTCAAGACCAGAAGTGCCCAGAATTAAGAGCTGCAGCCTCAGGGTTTGTGGCTGCTACCTACTTCTGCGTGTTTTGTTTTTTGTTTTTTGTTTTTCCTCCAGAACAAGCTTGTAGCTAGAACGAAAAAGTTTGCCAAGCAGAAAGCCAGTTACATTGTATCTCAAGTTGAGTTCCAGTTACCAAATGTCCCCAACCCCACGCTTTATCTGACATTCCTTAAGCAAGGGGGTAACAACTCCCAGATTTCTCAGGAGCCCCATGACAATCCCCTCTGTAGTGAAGGTCCCTGAGGAGTCTTGGCATTTATTGTCTGTTTCGTTTTCT